ACGACGAAAATAACGAGGGAAATGGGGAAGAAGGGAGTGAGGGAGGAGCACCTCCAGCTACGGTGGTGTCTAGTCACCCATGGTACAGCATCACTCAGGCAGCAGACGCAGTGGGTGCAGACACTCCCACTAATAAACGAAGTTCATCCCGCTCTGTCAGTCCTGCAAGCACCAAGAGCAAGAAACGGCCTGCACCTCGTGCTCCTCGGCCACCCACCGGTAACCAAGGTCAGTTTTATCAGAACCACAAACACCAAGAGCATCCCCTTTGTGCTTTACAAGTATCAAACAGTAACTTAACTATTTGATGTTTTATCAAATGTTTGTAAAGAAATTACAGAAAGAAACATAGGTCATTTTCTTTAGTGTCACCTGATTCAGTGGGTTTCTAAACTCAGTGTAAACAGCTGAGAAATTTGAAGTTTATAGATGAAAACACCAATATGACTGTGCAGTTAAACTGAATGAAAGCAGAGTCCCTTATGAAACATGGCTGTGCCCAAAATTATGCACTAGGATTGACTTTTTCAGGGGGCATACTCTTTATATCACTTATCCATATTTTTGTAATTTATCAGTACTTGACTCATCGTGAATGAGGTCATTTCGCCATGGAAATGTGCTTCTAACTTGTAACACAGCTCTCAGGAAGTGATTGATGATGAGCTAACTAGTGTGTCTGGAAAAGACAGATGCGTCTAAATATGCTGAACAATAGTAGAGACACTGAACACGCAGTGCATGGTACTTTTCATAGTAACATAAGGGTCACCATTCAGAGCCATCCTGGTAATGTATTCGGGCAGATATGTGCAACTACTGACAAAGTGTTTGTTGTTGATTGGCTCTGCAAGGGGTGCAAGCACTATTGTGCAACAGAATTTCCTCAGTTTATTTGTTCACTCTCTATTTATGTCTCTAGTTAAACTGCCAGGTATATGGAGTTACATGTAACAGGACAAAAGTAAATTCATATTTGATTTTCAGTTGCAAAGCCTGATCGTCATTGATCAAGACTGAAGTTTACAACCCAGTGATTTATAATATTGTGCCTTACTTTCCATTTTATCCATTTAATAGATAAAAAGCACATTTGTCCAACTTTGAGCATCCAATCTTCAAAAATGTGTGCAGTATAGAAGTGTGAAGTGTGTGTGCTGTTGTTAGTCACTTTAATCCTAGATTAGTTTGTCTGATGTAAAATTAAACAACCTCTAATTTAACAGACAAGTTGTCACTTCAAAAGAAGTGAGCGGAAACTATGTACACAGCTGATAAAAATAGTAATAATAAAAAAAATTTTTCTAAAGAGTCACAGACTAAAAATAGTTGAAAAGAGATGTGTTGCTAATAGATGCTAAAAATAATGTGTTTTCTTTCCCCTTATCCTCGCTTTATTCCAACATTTCAAACTACTTTATTCCTCTTGAATTTCTTCTGTCCCTGCTGTTTTTTTTTTTTTAATTATTTCAAAAACTTTTCTCTTCTTCAGCTCTCTCTCATTCTCAGTCCTCCTCTTGCTCCCCCTCTCCAGCTCTCAGTACAGAGAGTTTGTCTTCAGGCTCAGACTACAGCTCCTCTCAGCTCCCTTTAGCTGGCGGTGGCAGCAGCGACCAGGAACACAACTTCACCAAAAGCGTCTCCGAGCCTTCCATCTGCTCACCGAACGACTCCAAGCCTTCCCCTTCTTCCTCCTCGACTGAGCATCTCCGTCAGCCTTCTCCAAGCCCCGCCCCTTCTCCAGTACCAGCAAATGCCAGCTCAGCTCCAGCCACTCCACAGACCAGTCGCAACCCAGTGACCAAGGCTCCTCGACCTCCACCACCACGACCCAGCAACCCCAGCCCACTGGCCTCAGAGGCCACCCAGTCACAAAACAAGGTAATGGCTCCACCTCCAAACAGAAGACAATTTATATATCAATACACTTTGCACATACTAAAAATCCAACTGCATCTTTTCTCTTTTTAGCGGATATGTAAAGAGAACCCCTTCAACCGAAAAGCTTCGCCCTCTCCTGCCAATTCTAAAACCAGACCGCCAAAAGGCCCCCGTCCTGCTAGACCCCCGGCTCCTGGTCATGGCTTCCCACTTATTAAACGCAAGGTAAATAACCCCCCAAAATAAAAACGGACTAATTAAAAACAGAAATAAACCCGACAGAAATGACATCATCACTTAAGAGTAAAACAGATGAAGTAGTAGTCATGTGATTCAAACATCCTTCCAGGTGCAGTCAGATCAATACATCCCAGTTGAGGACATCCATGGGGAGATGAGTCAGCTGGAGAAGCAGCTGGATGAGCTGGAGCAGAGGGGAGTGGAGCTGGAGAAGAAGCTCAGAGACAATCCAAACGGTATCACATTACAGCACTTTAAGTCCAGTGAAGACCAGCTTTCTGTTCTTTTTGTTTTGTTTTTTTAAAATAGTCATTTCTAAGTAATAAAAGCAAATCTGCTTCTCTGTCAGAAATGACAGGAGTACTAATATTTGTTATTCACCCTTTCTTCATTTAGATGAAGATGAGGAGCACTTGTTGGTGGACTGGTTCACCCTAATTCATGATAAACACCTTCTTGTCCGACGGGAAGCTGAGCTGGTCTACACGTAAGATATAAATTTTACAGTTTTGGAACGTCATGGCTGGTTTTATTTTTACATATAAATCCTGTAGACAGATGCTCAGAATAGTAAGCGTGAAGTTATATTTTTGAACTTATTGTTGGTTAATGTGTTGCTCTCTGCAGGGCGAAGCAGCAGAACCTGGAGGAGAGGCAGGCTGATGTGGAGTACGAGTTGAGGTGTCTTCTCAACAAACCAGGTATTTGAGACATTTCCATCTGTATAATAACTGGGTTAGAACGTTATCCAGACTGGCCTTTCTCACATGTAAAGGAAGGTAAAAACCATTAAATGCCCAATCCAGTTTCATTTCAGTGGCTCCCAGTAACTATATTCTGTAAAATTATTGTTTACATTATTGAAGTACTCAAAGAACTTAAAAAAAAATCAATCTTCAGTTTGAATTATTAAGAATCTCTTGGTTAGTTTGTGCAATGAATGAAATGTCAGTATCTCCAGCACTCCAAGACTTATTAATCAGGACTCCCTGCTGACCTGACAGGATGGTGGATGTGCATTTAGTTTATAGTGAATGCTGCTCTGCTTTTGCATCAATAATTTATAAACCTTGTGAACACCTACAACGTGTACGTAACTGAAATAAAACAACAGATTAAATTATTAATCATGCTCTGCTTCTTCCATTTCTTCTTTCCTCTCATCAGAGAAAGACTGGACCGAGGATGACAAGAGTCGGGAGCAGGAGCTGATGGCTGAGCTGGTTACCATCATTGAACAGCGCAACCAAATAGTCAACAGCATGGACGAGGACAGGCAGAGGTAATCGAGTACAGACAGTTCATGTGCATCTGTGTTGTGTAGAGACTGGCAGGAGTCTAACTGTGGTTTTGTCACAGGGAGGAAGAAGAGGACAAGCTTATGGAAGAGATGCTGAAGAAAAAAGGTGCGATGATGTTTCATTAGATTCATGAAGGCACTCTTTTCCTTCCTTTAAATTTTTAATGCAGTTTTATTTCTTATTTTAATCCTCATCAGACTTTCAGAAGGATCCAGACAGCGATCACCAGAAGAAAAAAGGGGCAAAGTTTAAACCCATCAAGGTGCTCAAGCGTCTGAGCCATAAAGGAGAACCGGGAAAGAGTCCCAGCCCGCGTAAGGAGAAGAGCTGAACAGCAGAGGACACGTCTAGCTCAAGAGGATATTTGAAGGACTACTATTTTAAGAAGACTAAAGAATTTTGATAGAAGATTATGACATCTCCTCAAACAGTTTTTAAGCACCAAGACTCATTCAGTGACTATTTTCAGTTGCCTTTTAGTGTCTGACAGCAAGTGCTTTAAAAAGTTTAGGCTCTGAATATTCAAACTAGTGGCATGTTGGGTGGGTTTCTGTATTACTGCACTGATTACTTTTTGCTTTAACATCCCTGCATTGCACAGTGACTCTGCTCTATAGGCCTTCAGCAAAGATGTGATATGTCAGCTTACGTTGATCCCTGATATCCTTGAGTTTTTAGTTTTACTTACACCCTCTTGAGTAGTGGTCTCCTTTACTCCTTCAAAGGTGCACGTATTTGAGGTTTTATATCATGTTTGGGTTGAGCCCATGGTACTAGTAGCAATAAGTTTGTCTTTTTTGTTGTTTTTTTCCCGATGAAACTTGCTTGAAACTGCAGCATCTACTCTTGAAAAGCTCAATCAAAGACTTCTAGCTGCTATATATACACATATTTTATTTGTGTTCGTGTGTATTTTAGTTTCTTCAGTAGTAGTTTTACAATTGTGTTGGTGCTTGTCATCAAAGCATTACACAAACATAGATATAGTATTTATAAGTGGGTTAGACTGGAGGAGAAAATTAGACGAGTAACGAACTGCAGACAAAAAACAAACTGCCGGTTAGTTTTAAACGGGACTTATTCATTTTCCAAGGAAAAGCAGGATAGGCGTCCTTTTATTATGGAAGGTAACAGATGAAATATTGAATTTCAGAAGAAGAAAATATACAGTATTTTATCAACTGTAGCAAAAGCCCAGTTTATAACGGTTTTAACTATCGAAGGATGGACCTGAGGTATGCAATCATTAATTTATATTTTACTATGCCTTTTTGTGCGTGTGTGTTTTGCCTTAGTTTATATCGAGTGCCATTTATTTTATTGCATACATCGTTAGTTCGAGCTAATGTAAACGCGTTTACTCATTCTGTTCGTGTTCTCGTCTCTTAGATGATGTATTTGTCTTGTGTGGCTGTGTCTGTTGTCTGTTTCTGCTCTGTGCCTAACTTCCTGTCCAGCTGAAACAAAGGGCTTCTGTGCCACCACATTTTTGTCATCTTGTACATTGTCCTAAAACGGCAGCAGGACTGTGTGAAATACTGACACTGGGAGGCAGAGGAATAAAAGAAATTCACACAGTTGGGTAGATGTGTGTTGTATTCACTGGCGTGCGCGTGTGTCTCTGCTCTGACTGAAGGTATGTCGCTTGCTTGAAGAGAAGCAGACCGCCCGGTCAAAGACAACAGTCAGTCTTCTTTGTTGGCTGCATTTTCTGTCCTCTCTGCGTTTGTATCAAATGTGGGAACGTGGGATTTTTCCATTATCTCCAATTCTCGTAATTTCTGTTATTAGAGCCAGGATACATTTAAGTGAATCTGATCATATCTTAGTTCAATTTAAACTGCTACTGATCTGTCTCGTCACTGAAATATATATATCTAGATAGATAGATAGATAGATAGATAGATAGATAGATAGAGATAGCTATATATATATATATATATATTAAAATACAATACTAAATGAACATAATAGTGGCTGAAAGCACGTTTACCTGAGATATCTCAGTGTTGATGATGTTGATATAATCTTTCTCCTGACCCAGGGAGGCCATGTCTTCCAGAAACTGTTGTCTTTCCTGTATTTCATTCAGAACTGCAGGAAAAACAGAACGTGTTCTTACTCTGAGGGTCAGTGAGCACATTGATCTTGTCATAAGGCTCAGAAAATATTCCCTACAAAAACAAATTTCCGTTTTTCAAATGTATCTTTTGTTGCACTAAAAACACCCCAAGGTTCCATGCACTTCTATTACAATCTAGAAGGCAGACATTTCTGGAGCTGAAATCTACAAAACAACTCCCAATAAAAGAATTTAGATTGATAAACAGCGCTACAGGCAAGAGGAAAAATTGGGGGTTAAACTGTCCCTTTAAGATTCAAATATGATGCTGGTGTAACCGCTCCACCTCATTGTTTTGCTCTGCAGTCAGCCTCACCTTCCTGATAGCGATCAATCTTCTTTGGTATTTCTGAGCTCTGATGTTGAGGAGGCTTCTGAGAAGATCCCGCTCCGGGCTGCTCGGTCCCATGTGCAAAGATGTTCTGAAGCTTCCTCTTCTCTTTCTCTAGGTCTCCTTGGGTGACATGAAGAAAAAGTTCCGAAAAACAGAGCCTGACTTTTTCTCAGAGTGCAGAAAATGGAATAAATGAAGAAGAAAAGGAAAGAAATGGGGAAAATTGAAGGGATCGATGACATGCAATATACACATAAACTGAAATTTATGTCAGTTTCAAGAACGTACGTGTTGGACCAGGACGAAACTTTTCTCTCTCGTAGCTGTTCCCAGACCGACATGCCTTGGCGGTGCGTTTTTGAGTGTGGACTGGCCAGTGTTTCTGGACAGATTTACCAGGAGAAGACTGTGCCGGATCAGAGGTGAAAGGCAAAGCTGTTTCATCTGAAGGAGAAAATTTTACAGCAGCAAAAGTTTTTTGTTTACAAAAAATGAAGCGTTGCTAATTGTGGATGCTTTTTTCAAACCCCATATTTGAAGTGTGGGACTCTTCCCGACAAGCTTTGCATGATTCACAGTTTAAAGAAACTGAACAGTGAACTGGGCTAGGCCGAGGTTCTCGATCATTTGACAGGGGTACAGAGTATAAACATAGCTTCTCCACACTAGAAGGAGTCAGCTGAGGAAGATTGGGCATCTGAATAGGACGGAGAGGTGTTTTGGTAGTGTCTGGGAAGAGACCCGGAACAGACAAGCTATGGACATTGTGTCACTTGGCTTGCCAGGGAATGCCTTGGAATAAGAGGTGGTGGCTGGGAGGAGGCAGATCTGGGCATCTCTGCCTAGATCTCTGTCCCCCAATCCAGACCCTGGGTGTCTGCTCCTTACAAACAGATTTGAACAGCAGGTGGGAGTTACAACGTGAACCACATAATTTAGGCAACCATATCAGGTACACCTGCTCTCAGCACATCATGCCCGAGTGTTAAATCAATCTGAAGTCCAATAGTAACAGTATATGGCACCATAAGGGCCAAAATCATGATGGTATTTAGCAACAGGTCATATGTACAGAGTGGAATATTGTTATTAACTTACAACTATATCTTAAGTATAAATATAAGAAAATACTCCATGAGACAGTATCAGACCTTTAACAAACTTACTCTTTGGCTGATTGTTGATCTGTTTTCTCTTGAGGCTGGTGACCCTTGATTCCTGCTTCAACACTGAGCACAGAAACAGAACAATAAGAGTACACAGCACAGGCCTCAGCAACGGTAAATGAAACACAGACACAGCTCTATAGCGGGATCATAAATTCTGAGACCATGCTGAAAATCTCTCATATCTTCATAAAATTTGAGGACATGCAAAATGAAGAACAAATGTTCTGACCACGAAAAGCTCACATGGTGTGTTTACAGGACTGACAATGACACTGAAGTGCCTCACACTCAGAGTGAAAGGCACTGGTGGGTATATTCAAATCTGGAAACCCCAACTTCCCTCTGACCCAGGACAATTTATCTGAGGTTTTAACTCCAACATGCCTGAAACCTTTGGAGGAACTGCTTGAAGACGTAGTAAGTAATTCAAAACTATCAACACATCAAGGTTGAACAAAGCTGGGCAGTCTGTGGCGGGCTGATTCCAGCCTGTCAACACTGTATTTCTAGTTCAAACTGCTGCACTGATATCATCATGTATGCATGCTAGAATATGCTAGAGCAAAATTTAAGGTTTTTATTAATGTTTCTTTAGTGAGCTCAGATTTTTTGGAGCACAGCTTACATCTCAGCATGTCCTGGGTCTCCTTGCTGAACTGTGTGGCTCTGGGGCTGTTCCACAATCCCCTGCTAGCTGAAGCCTGTGAGGAAGTTTCCATCTGCAAACTAAAACACACAAATTACAACCCAGAAAACCATTGTTTTAGTTCAATTTATGATGCTGTTATTCCTGAATTTAACGTGAACTTCATCGCTGTGATCTATGAATGACTTCAACACGACCTAAAGCTTCGGAAAAAAACCCGTTAATCTACGAGACAAATATTGTAACTAAATATTATATTAATAATCTAATATTAAACACTAATAACATTATTAAAGCTTACCTCGTTGTTTTTTAAGGAAAGGCCAGTCTTTAAAAAAGGAGACCAACTTCAAACTCAGGAAGACGGCAGTAACACTATGTTGCTATAGCAACTAAATAACAAAAGCCCTGTTTTAACTCACTGAAATATGTTTTTAAAAAAAGGAAAAAAAGAGGGAAAGCCAGAAAATTATTACTATAAGACTCCACGTTTTTAAAATCTTTTTTAAAAGATATTTTACGCTTACCAATGGTTTCAAGACAGTGGTGCAGTGTCAACTATGGCCACTAGAGGGAGACAGATTATTATTTTTTATTACCGTTTTAATGGCTTCCATCAGTTATTGATTTTATTTTCATTTATTTTAGTTTTGTCACCAAGAGTCTATTAAACATTTTTTATTCTGTTAAAATATATATACAGAGAGGAAGTCAGGAATTACTAGCTAATTAATAGCTAAATACCATTTTTATAGAACAAAACACTCATATGGATCCCTAAGATATTGACATTGTATCATCAAAACTACAAGGGATTTCAAAAAAATAATTAAGAGTAACGCAAACTAATTACCAATCATGAGACTCAAACAAATGCATTTTCAGTCAATGCCTTTGAAAGTGACAAATAAACAGCCTAAATTGAACTTGAATAGAATGGCCCTTTATTGTCATTGTACATGTACGATTCAATGTGTCTATAAAGCAGTCGATCATTGCATATTTTTTCAACCTGCATAGTGAATATCTTATGTGTAGTCGTCACTCGGAAGACTCTCAAGAGAGAGTCTTTATCAGTGGCGGGCAAGTCATCGGGGGTCAGCAGCAGTCAGGGCATCATTATCTGTGGAAATACAGCAGCCTGCATTTGCTGAATGTCTGCAGATAAACAGCAGCCCGAATATAATCACCTTTCACACATAGGTCTTCTCAGAAGTCACACGTCCTCGCTGGGAATACAGACACAACCTGTGTGCACAAGTGTGTTAAACTGTAAGCAGCAAAAACAGAAGAAGAGGTTCACTTTCTGCTGTAGAGTCAAACAATTAAAATTACTACATATCCATTATTTGTTTTAGTATATGTTTATATGCCAGTCACCTGTTTTTAGGTATTTACACAATCATATTAAAAGTATGCAAGCTGCTTTTTCAAATCATGTATGCTTTCTTTTTTCAATTAACATGTCTATCAACATTAAACGTGCATAAAACATCTCTGTATGTGTGCCCACACAGTTTGGACTTTGTGCCAAAGCGTGCTTAAATAGATAGCGGCCTTTCATCTGATAACAGCCAATGATCTGTTTACTTGTGAATGAAAAATAACTGAGTGTGCGCCATTTGTCTACAGGCTTAATTTTACTGCACTTTAAAGGCATTTGTGTAGACATTCAAAAGTATGGATGGTAGTTCAGTAAACTTAGAAGATGTTTTCAGCATTATTTATCCCCTTTTTTTTTATTTATTTGCAACTATTTGCAGTGACTGTTACCATCTAATTATCATGATTTTATTATTTTGTGTATCATTTTAAAACTACTCGTTCAGTTTTGATGGAGCAGCTGTTTAATCCTGTTAAGGCTAGTGTATCATATTTGATACATTTTAGCTCTACATCATTAGCATGATTTTGTTTCCCTGAAATACCTGATGTACACTGTCAGACACGTGCAGTGCTACACAAATGCCAAATGATACAAATTAAAACTCACATACGCAAATTTATATTAATTTATTGTTTAATTTTGTAAAACAGTTTCCCCCTTTCCCTTTTTGACATATTCTACTTACAAAATAAACGTTTCCAGTGACAAACCAAAAATGTTTCTTTCGTGTTTAATGCGTAAACAGTTAACAACTATTGCTTTAATCCTCATCATCATTTGACTCCCTGTGAAGCCTTAAAAAAATGTGTGTGTTGCTATTTGATCCCAACTTTTTCCTCTGTGAAATAAACATCTGTAAAAACGTACTTTAAGAATTTTAAAAACATGAGTGTAAAATGATTGTTGAGCATATTCACGTCAGTGACCATTTCACTGATAATGATTCATCAAATTTTAGCTTTTAATTGCAGCAAAAGCAAAGGTTGTTTGGTCTTTCCTCACATGTAAAAGGTGAGAGGACAGCCTGACGCTCAATGTTTTTTCAGGTTTTATTGCTCTGAATCCCACACAACAGGAAGACAGTGTGCTGAGGTCAGATAGTAGAGTTTCTTAGGGTTTATAAATGACCGGTCTTAAAGGAACCAGAGAAGTAATTTACACGTATGCTCCACCTCCTAACGGTCAAAACCTACATGAAAACGAGAGATTTGAAGTTAGACTTGCAGCTGACAGAGATAGACAAGAGAGAGGAGGGAGAGATAGCAGGCAAGCAATGACGAAAAGGAGGCAGTTCTCTGTGGCCTGTTTGCACTGAGTGGACTGTAACTGGGATGAGAGGCCTGGTGAGCTGGAGTCTGACTTCCTGTTAGCTGAGGGTGAGGTGGGCATGTAAAAAAAAAAAAAATACAGAAGTATCCAAAAGAAAAGAGAAACTTTCCTGTTCTTGTTACACCTGTTGCCATATCAGACTGCTTGATGGCTGTTACCCAGGCTGTGCTCCCTTCCTTCAGCTCCTTCTCCAACCTCTCTCACTCCACTGACAATATGAAAGTAAGTAGCATGTTCACTTCAAATATTTGATTCTTTTAGCGAAATATAGTGACTCACCTTTCATGTAGTGTGACCATTTAATATTTATGTGTCTGCTTTTACTACAAAAGTGACGGAATAATGCTCAAAATTAAACTGCTACCAAAATAACTTGTAAGTTTTTTTGTTTGTTCTAAAGGGCTCTAAAAAATATACTGCATACAGTTTCAAGATGAAGTTAAATGAAATCTTATTTACACTTGGTAGCTTTTTGTAAAATTTTGCTGTTGTTCCAATTGAGTTCACTTATTGTATTGTGGATTGTGCTGCTTTATATGAAAAAGCAATGAAATCACAATGTAAAGAAAGTCTGCAGGGAGCAAAACTGTTGGCTTAATAAATAATTTATTGAATATCTTTAATGATAGCTTTGGATTTGTATTAGAATAATACACGTGTGTGAGAGCCACCAGCATCTATTACCACAGTGGGCAGAAATTAATGCATTTTTTTTGTTATTTCTGGCAATCTGAAATTTTTTTTTTTACTATTATGTGAAAGAAACTAAACTAAATTAAATCAGTAATAAAGAACAGTGACTTTGCAAAGTCTGAAGGTTTTACAATTGAATAACAGTCATTAATAATTCAAATTTGTAACAGAACAGAGTGGAAATGTCCATAAAGATAGAAGTATGTTGAGACGGAAGCTGTTCTTTTTATACAGAACTAAAAATAATATTGTTGAAGTTCAAAAATACTCTACACTTGAGGATTTGTGGCTTTGCAGATCCATTGTGATCTACAAATTGTAATGTACATGTGATAACAGAAGTCTGTCTGCACATAGAAAAACTGAGACATATTATTGAAATTGCACATAGTTTTCTCAAACCATCTCACAGTGGTTATTACGCAACAGTTTTACTGGTCTGGTCCGTTTTAAATCAGATTACCCTCTGTGAACATTTAAGGATGTTCTTGGTTTTCATGATCTTAAAATTCTCTCCAACAGGTGTGTAAGTCAGATGGGTCTCTCCCTTTGGACTCCCCAAGCACTAAACTGTCACCAAAGAGCTCTGAGCAACTGCAGGTCTCTGAACAAATGGCAGAGGAGCTCCTGGATGATGACAGCCAAGCATCATGGGACATTGAGTTTCTGCTGTCAGAGTGGCGCAGCCCTTCCCCCGACCCTAGCCCCTCTCTCAACAACAGCAACCAACTGCTTCCGCAGTTTGACCCAAACACTGCATACCAAGAGACGAGTGTGCTTAAGGACCCATCAGGACAGGAGAGTCTACAGATGAACAGCGGCAGCCTCATGGCTGAGCTCATGTCCCCTGCTGAAACCACCACAGTCCAGCCAGAGCTGTACCAGCGTAGTTTTAATGACGATCAAACAGGTCGAACTTTATTTTCTAATGTGCATAATGTAAATCAGTTTGACTTCTCCCAAGGAGGAAGTGTTGAAAGACACAGCAGAGGAAGCCTCAGTAAGGTTGCATCATGGGACTTCAACCCCTACTATCACCACCACCACCAACAGCAACAGCCTCCCGTGGTGGCCATCCCTGAAAACAGGTTCATCCGACCTCAGCCTGTGACTCCTGACCCTCGACACTACCGCTACTTGCCCCACTTTAACCACACTGCCAGCCTTTACTGTGACTACAACCACAGCCAGGGGCATTTGCCCCTGCACCAGCAGCCTCTGCTGGTTGGACAACAGGTGCCCCCTAGTGGGTTGGAAGGGAAGCGTGGCAGAAGAGCTACGGGGAAAAAGAGACCAGCCATCCACAGCTGTGAATACCCCGGCTGCAGCAAGACCTACACCAAGAGCTCGCACCTCAAGGCTCACCTCCGCACCCACACAGGTAACCAACAACAGAAACAACTGATCTTAACTCATGGTTTAAATGATGCTTTTTTTAAAAACTGCTATCTGCTTTATTATCTTTTATCAGGTGAAAAGCCTTACCACTGTTCATGGGAGGGCTGCAGCTGGAAATTTGCCCGCTCGGATGAGCTGACACGTCACTACCGCAAGCACACGGGTCAGAAACCGTACCAGTGTATGCTCTGTCAGAGAGCCTTCTCTCGCTCAGACCACCTGGCTCTGCACATGAAGAGACACAACTAACGCTCTCGCATATACACAAATCTACACCTCTGCCATTATAGGACATTTTAATTAAAAAGTAGACAAATTTTGTCTGAATGTAGGACCTCAAAAGTCATCTGGTGCAGATGTTTTTGGTATACTTACAAAACAAATGAGATAGGTCTAACTCAAAATCTAATTGAAAACCCTTCAGCTTCAGAAATGATTGATATCCGTCACTTAAAGAGTGACCATTAGTAATTGCTGAAGCACTGGTAATTAGAGAAGTACTCCACAGAAAAAAGATGGAGCAGGGGACTTGCTGCAGGCACTGTAGCAAGTTTATCTCCTTTGTCTCTCTCTATTACACATATTTTATCTCAAAGAAGCCAGCTTTACCATGACTGGCTGCTCGTGTGGGGCTTTTGTGCTAAGATGACCGTTTTAGAGATATCTACCTCTGTGACATCGTACAAAAGAACTTGTAGAAACTGAAAGTCTGACACCTGAACATTTAGCTGATAGGATTACTCACACGTACACTGACCTCAATACGTGAAACCTTAGCCTTATTTAACATGAGCATCCACCACTGTTGACAGACAATATTAGATAGACAGATAATATTGGGTACCCTTTAACCATCACATCTACATATCTGAGCACAACAGTTACCATATACCTTAAATCAAAGTCCTAACTTAACCTGGCAGCATGTCAACCAGAAGAAGACAACCTTTGTAAAATAAGCATGTCTAAAGCTATAAGAGCCGCTTTTACAAACACTGTACACACTGTGGGTTTACAGACAGTGGACTTAAACACTAACAAAAGACCTAAAAGTGTTTGTAGCATTGGTTACAAGATGACAAGAACTCACAGCTTACGAAGAAAGCCACGAGTGCTTATTAGCCATGCTTAATTATGTCAGCACTGAGATGATATAGTCATCTCAAATTCTGTTCCCCTTACAGGCAAAGCAAGATGAAGTACTGATATTTGGCAGATTTTGGCCAAGTGCAAATATCAATGTTTAATTTTATTTTATTTTTTTAATTCCCCCTTTTTGTGCAAGGGAAAGAAAGAATACTGCACTGCAGTATGATTTTATGTCCTTACAAAGTATCTGATAACTATAAATCTATTACACTGGGTTCTATACAGTTTAAAAGGACCACAAAACTGATGTGACACAACAGTTAAACATCATGCAGTCAGAAAGAGAAACACTGACCCATACCCATGAGCTGGTGTGTCCAAAATGGTAATAGAAATATGACTTAAATTATATGTGAAGCAAACTAATATTGGTTTATTTTTTTAAAACATATTTTTATTTAAAAATAAGCATTTGCTAAAGCTGTAAATAATCAGTATTTTTCTGAGCTCTCTATTGTCATTAAAAAATAAGCAACATATTTATTGTCACGATCTTTTACAACAGCAGAAGATACTATATTATTTGTAAAATATTTTTGTTTCAAAAGAGCGTTGTTAGCATTGTTGTGTTAGGAATTTTTAAGATGTTTTAATTCCAACAATAAAGACTTTTAATTCTGTAAAACTGTTGGTCAGTCGAGCCTGATTTAAAAATAAATAAATAAAAAATAAATACAAATAAATCACAAAACCATAAAGCTGGGACTTCAAAATTATTGAGAAATACTATGATATTTGTCAGCAATGATATATATATTTTTTTGTTTAATGGTTTATTAGTTACTTTACTACTCTTTTTGCACAACAGGCCACGATTTATGTCCTTGTCAGTACTGCAAAACTGCATTTTTCAGTCATTAGTACATCAAACTGGACCCTCCAGTGGGCTGAATGTTTTATACCCCTGCCCTTAAATATTGTTTGCTTTACAGCAAGATTAGGAAGAATTGTCCGTTTCAAGTCATTTGGGGTTTTCAAAGAAAGTGAAAACACATTTTTCATTTTCCAAGAGAGAGAAAGCACTATGTTTGATATCAGCATTTGACCTCTAGATGTCAGTGTTCTGTTATCACGTCAGTCCTCCAGGCTGCAGGCAGGTATCAGCAGGCTGTAGGCGGCTGTGTCTGCTGTGTTTCTAATCTGGGTAAGGGTGAGGTAAGGATGGGGATCTGCTTATGTAACACGGTGCACTGATTCATCCTGATTATGTCAGATGATGGAGTTCATCATCACATTAAGAAGCTTCCTCTCCCTCCATCTAACAAATATATAGAATGTTGTGTACTGCATACCCTCAGGGAAGACAAACAGACTCACAACCTCACACACTTACCAGCATCTACAACACATGCTTAAGCATACACATTCAGCAATGAATCTGCACTGCTTTGTAAACAAAGTTATAAAAAACCACTGCTGACCTAATGTGATCCACAACAAAGCATTAATATTGACAGTATTTTTAGTTGCATAAAAGATCACAGAGATTCTGAGGCTTTGGTAAAACCTCAAAAAACAAAAACAAACCAAAAAAGAGAGAGGGTTTGGTGCATGAACATATTTTAAAATGAGAGATATTCATTTTAAAATCATTTATTGTAATTGCAAGTTTCCACTCTGTAAATGGATTTAATTTCCAGAGCATGATACTGAAGTGATGTAATTTTGTACAAAAGCCTGTTTGTAACTTTTTATAAACTTACATGGAAATACTAAGTTCTTCGACAGATTCAATAAAATCCACGAAATTCCTCTTTAATTATATGGAAGTCTGACGTACAGTTAATTTAACCCTCATGTTCTGGATTTTCTGGTATGTGAACAGGAACAGTTATATCTTTACCTCTCATGAGACCAGTTATGCAATCATACAAATGTTTTGCAGGAGCCCAACCAAGTCAAGGGTTAGTATTAGAGTTTGATCTGTACTAGCGATTAAGACTGAGCTGCTGCAGCTAGGTCCACTTTGATGTGCTACCATGGCTAAAACTGGGTTCTTAATCCTGCTAATCGGGGACAACATAATGAATGTTGAGCAGAGACGTTAACTAGCTAGTACATGCATCAACACATAAATGCCTTAATCAGAGCCTGAAATATCTACATGAAGTTAATAGTAAATGATGCCTTTTAATCTAAGCGCTAGAAAGTCCTTAAAAGGGACCTAATATGCTCATTTCCAGTTCCATAACTATGTTCTTGGACTCTATTAGGGTAGCTTTGCATGACCAACAGTTCTGGTCTTGGTCTGCTTGGTCTTGGTGCAGGCCTCCCAGTTTATCATGGTCTACCATAACCTGTTTTGCCTTCCAAAAAACAGAAGGCTTGAACAGCAGGTCGGCGGGGCTTCTGTGCACACAGCCAGAGCTGTGTTCTTGAGATGAGCATTTTGGAGACTACTTGCAGATACACTTAATGCATTATTTGAAATTTTGGTCAGAATGAGGTCAGAAATGAAATGAGCAGAGCCAATGAGAACTACAGAAGCGAAATGATAAGAATTTAGTGATTCCGATTCATTATCGATTCTCTTATTCTCTTTACTTTGATAGTAAACACCATCGCTAAGCAGCATATCAAAGACATTCATGCAAATTAATGACATGTTGTGGGTCAAATGTTTGTTCATGTTGGAGGTATTTCCCCTCTTTATTGTGATCACCATTGGGGTCATTACTCAAAAAAGGTAATATATTGTACAGAACATTTTTCAGGTAGAAATAGAGGCTGCAGCCTGACTGCTCATCTGTTTGTTACCTGTTGAAGTTCAGAGTCTGACTCCTGTGCCGGGGCTGCGCTGGGTTCTTGGCTAGCTTTGTGTTAGCATGCTGTCTGTGTAGATCAGGCTTGGCCAACTCCAGGCCTCGAGGGCCAGTGTCCTGCAAGTTTTAGATCTCACCCTGGGTCTATACACCTGAATCAAATGATTAGCTCATTACCAGGCCTCTGGAGAACTTCAAGACATGTTGAGGAGGTAATTTAGCCATTTAAGTCAAGGACACATCTAAAACCTGCAGGACACCGGTCCTCGAAGCTTAGAGGTTTGGACATCACTGGTGTAGATGCTCGCAGCGAGGTGAAGTTATGTTAGCAGCATAATGCGACTGTTGTGCTTGATGTACTGGATGCAGTTTGCACTTTACTCATCATTTTGTGCAGTAAAAATACAAGTAATGTCCATAAACACTATTTACCTCCTCAGACACACAAACTGAAATCAGCTCAAAGAACCACAAGTGCAACTGGAACTGGAAAGCAGGATCATAGTCAAGCATACTAACAGTTCCAAGGAACTGGACTACTGGAAGCCGATTCTAGATTCCTATGCCTGAAGAAATACAATGAGATATATACACTTACTGGATTGAGACTGAAAGGGTCTCAACCAAGTAGGAGCCCGTGTTAAAAATGAACACCTTCAAGCTCAACTGAAATTTGCAGCTGCCCACATGGACAACAAATAAGACAAAGGTTGAACCATTTGTCCACAAAGACATTAGGTATGTTTCAGAAAGATCAAGGTCAAGCTTTCAAACCTAAAAATGATGCACCAACTAACAAGCTTGGGTGGTGGCATCATCATGCTCTGTAGCTATTTTACTGCCAGTTGTGCTGGTTCATTGCACAAAGTTGATGAAATAATAAAAGAGGAGATCTACCTCCAAATTCTTCAACTTTACCTTAAATCAACAGCTAGAAAGTCAAACTTGGATACAGTTGGATTTTCTAACAGGACAATAATCCCAAACACACATCAAAACTGTCATAACCAATGAGGCAGGCTGGACTCAAAATGCAAGCTAACATGAAGCTTGTGGAATGGCCTTGCCTCCATCCAGATGTGCACCAAGAAACAAACCAATTTAAGTGAACTCTAGAAATTTCGCCAAGAGACAGGTCAAATACCCAACCAGAATTATGCCACAAGCTTGCAGACAGCAACCAAAAAGATTCTGGCCATGGTGCAGCTTGCTAAGGGACACTTAACCAAGTATTCGAAGGAATGTATATGCATAAATTCAAACTTTTGCACCCAAGTTGTGAAAGAACAATTAAATAATTCAAAACCCCAAATTACCATCTCATCCATGCCCATGCATCTAAACTAGTGACCACAGCTGTATTAACATATAAAATATGACCAATATTAAAAAGGCCTCTTTTGGCCTTGACCGTATGTCATTACATAATCAAGGGCTCATACACTTACTCACACACTGCCATGCAAATTGCAAGGTGCAACGTAAAGTGTTCTGCCATTGGAATCAAACCACCAACCCTGTCATAAGATGGAAAACCTGCTTTATCACACCGCCCTCAAGCAATCATGATAATTTTAGAGCTAATAATAATAATCTGTTCTTCACTCATACAAAAGATGTTCCACAACATCAGATAAATCACAAATATGTTAGTGATGGTCATGAGGCTCCATCTGCAGTCTATTTTAGTGCAGCGTTCAAGGGAAAGTGATTTGGGATTTAGAGGTGACACGAGGATAGAGGCTCTGGCCTGTAGTGCCCTAAAAGAACAAACAAACAAACTCTGAAACAAATCTGCTTTCTACTTCCATGTTCTACTTCCTCCTTTCATGGTTACATAAGGTTATAGCTAACCCCTTGATTGGAGTGATCTTATCTCTGAGCATGACAAGAGTGTACTAAACAAAGACATTATTATAATGCATGTGACCAGGCCAAGGCTTAAACACCATGTGGCATAAACAATGACGGTAATGTAATGTTTTTCAGTGCATTTGATTCTTTAAGCTTATTCCACCACATTTTTTTTTCTAAATCCCCAATGCCAGGTCATTAATGAAAAAGACTCATTAAATAATTTGATTTGATTGTTTTATATAAAGAAGGATATTTTCTTCCTCCCCACCACCCACATGAACCACAGAAAACAATTTGAATGCTGCAG